AGGAAGTGCCGGGGGGACTTACCGAGCCTTGAAGTACAGTAGGTTTCTCTGAGAGGAACCTTAATCCTAGGGCTGCAGCATGGACTCATGGGTCATCTTCTGCCAGAGAAAGCTGTGAAACCCAGCACCTGCCGGACACAGGACCCAGCTCCCCCCCCACACCACCCCCCGCTTACTCCTCTCTGCCCAGGCAATCAGCGTCTTCCAGGCTCTCCGCACCCTCCCCGCAGCCCAGTACTCGCGCTCGCAACCCCTTATCAGGAGCCCCACGATTGCCTGTGCTGCCCCCCGTTTCCACCGCTCCCCCAGGACTGGGGTAGAGCGGCCAGTGGAAGGAGCAGCCGAGCTCTGGGGAGGAGGAGGGATGCAGCCCTTTGCACACACAGTCTCTTTAAGGCCGGCTGCCGAGGCTCCTGCGTGGCTGCTTCCTGAGGTTTTAGCGGTAGGGTTTCCAGCTGAGGTGTCCTAGCAGCTCCCTGGGCTGGGTGGATCCTGCTTCCTGGACTGGGCTAGCAGCGACCCACTCTGCTAGATCCCTCAAGCAAGCCCTGCCATGACCACCGAGTATTGGCCAGGTACCCAGCAGCCTATGGAGAGCGGAGGGTGGGGGGGTTGCACTTGCTGTAGAGGCGGAGAAGGAATCTGCTTCCTTGCAGGTGCGGCATTGTGTGCTACCTCCTTCTGCTGAAACCCTCCAGACCTAACCCCCTCTCGGCAGTGGCTCAGAGGGCACAGGCAGCCTCTCAGGGCTGCCCGTTCACTTCCAGCCAGGCCAGCCGTGCCTGAAAGCTTTCCCCAAGGCCCCTGGGTCGGGAGCTGTTTGGGCAGGCCCAAGCCTGACGGGCAGGTGTCCCGTCTAACAACCCCGCCCCGCTGGCTTCCGTGGCAGCGTCCATGCCCATGGCTGCCTCGCTCTCCCCGTGCACGGTCCTTCCCAGGAGCAGAGAGGCCGCTTGCCCTGGGCCGTGTCAGCTCGGTGGGTAAAGGGGGCAAGCCAGCATCTTTCACCAGCAGAGAGTCCAGTGGGAAGAGCTTGGCATGAGGCCTGGAACGAGAGAGACGCATTCACGCTGCCCAGGCAGATGCTGCTGTGGAGTAAAGGTCCCATAAACCCGTCGGACCAGTTAGTGCCATGTCCATCATCTGTCAGCTGTGTAACAGAGACACGTCGGAGTCCCCCTAGCTCAGCGATGGGCAACCCAGGCTGGGGAGGCGGCCTCCTTCATCCCAGTGGGCCGCAAGATTGTCGGGATCAAGGCGTCTCCCGGGCTGGGGTAGTTTTTGCTGAGTGCGCTTGCGTGCCTATAGTTTGCGGGCTGTGCTGATTGGACTGTAGCAGGGCTGTGATGGGCTGCAGAGGACGCGTATGGCTCTCGCCATCAGTGGCACGTGCAGTCAGCTCACACCTCGCTTGTGCGTCGCTGGAGTAACGCAGGCAGGAAAAACAATAGTGGATGGAAACCCGTGGAATCTGGCAAGCCCGTGCATGGGCAAGAGTAAATGAAACGTCTCGCGAGCCCCACGTAGAACCCCAGTGGGCCGCAGGTCGCCCACCACTCTCTAACTCTTGCTCCATTGGGGTTTGTCCCGGCTGCAGGTGCTTTGTGGACGGGAGCAGGAAATACCTGCATGAGTGACTGCTGGGACGTCCTCCAGCTCCCTGGCATTTGGAGGAAGATCCAAGTCAGTTGTGTGGCATTTAGTGAGCCGGGAGGCTTTGCTCAGGGCTTGGAGAGGTCACGTGGAGCTGCTGAGTGTTTATCACCCTATTGTGGGCGCCCTGAGGGTACGTTTGCACTACAGGGGCATAGCCCTGAGTAAGCCATGGCTCACCCCCTGCTTCGGCTGGGGTGCGGGGCCAGGGCTTACCTCTCTGTGCTCTGGCTGGGGGGACCGGGGGGTTAATCCCGCCCCCAACGTTGCCCACCCACCCGAAGTTGGGGCCCTTCAGGCAACTACACGAGGCAGCTTTTAGCGACAAGTCCGTGTCGGCACAGCCCCGCCGTTAAAACTCAGCACCTGTGGACGATGTTCACCGGCACTTTGGCCGACAAAACGCTTCTGCCCCTGGGAGCAGCTTGCGCGTCGTTGGCAGGAGAGCGACAAAGCAGGGATCGCACTTGCCTCAGCAAAACGCCTGTTGTTCGGAGGCAGGGGTTTAAGCACCCCCTGGACCACAAAAGGCTTGTGGATCAGTTGCTAGTCAAACGTAGCCTGAGGCTACCCTAGCACTTTGCAAAGCGCCCGTGTGAACCAGGCTGCAGTTCTGAGAGCAGCGTGTCCTTCTTCTCTGGTGTGGGGAGGGGTTCTCCGTACACCCCTCCCCCCATGTTCGGTAACTTCCTCGCACAGGCTCTCTGGAGATTGGTGGTCACGTGGCTCACCCACCTCTAGAACCGGCCTTGGATCTGAGCCGAGGCGAGACTCCATAGCTGTATCGAGGTGACCTGGGCGTGAATTGGTGGCATCAACTCACCTGTGATTTCCTTCGAAGCTTAAGGAACCTGGATACCCTTAGGGGGAGCGTTTGGATTTGCAGGATCCAGCCATGGTCACACCCTGTGCTATTGGCACATCTCTTGGCTTGACAGCCAGCCAGCCTGCCCTTCCCTTTGTTCAGAGTTTGGAGAAGGGCTGCTAGGACCCACAGGGAGGCTCCAGGGTCGTGTTTGGGTGACTGCTGCTAATCAGCACAAACAACCAAGACACCGTTTCATTATGAGAAGAGGGAGTTCAGCTGCTACTGACTGATGTGGTGCAGCTGGCTCCGAGCCCCGGAAGCTGGCAACTTTTGATGTTGTAAAGCAAAATGTCTGATTTACGCACAGATTAGGGATGTAATCGTGTAGTCGATTAACTGATTAACCAATAAGCTAAAGCTTCTAGGTTAATGTATAGACAGTGGGTTCCCAAACTGGGGGGCATGAAAAATTCCAGGGGGGGCGCGAGGCGACCCAGCCCCACGCACCTCCATCAATCCCACCTGCTATTTTTTTGGGAGGAGGGCATGAGGGTTTCACAACTCAAAAAGGAGGCGTGATGCCGAAAAGTTTGGGAACCACTGTGACTATACGCATTCCCCCCCATCCCCTTTGCCAGTACATTTTTTAGCAGGCTGGCCAGCAGCCTGGCTCAGTCCTGGCTTGGTCCAGGACCTACCCCTGCTGCAGCTCTGCATTTAAAGTGTATTAGGAGCCAGGCAGGCAGGCAACCTGGCTCAGTTCCGGCTTGTGCCGGTCTGGGAGCTCAGAACCCTCCTGTCCCGGACCAAGGCTGCTGCCACCCTGCGCTGCTGTCTTTGTATTAGAGGCAGCAGCACGGGGCAACAGGCAGCTGGTCTGCGAGGGGAGCTGGGTTTTAAACTGGCTCCCCCCGTGGGGCTGCTCCCTTTTAAACTGGCTCCCCTCGTGGACCAGCTCCCGCCTGGTACCCCATACTGCTTCCTCTGATGCAGAGGCAGCAGCGCGGGCTGGCAGGGAGCTCCTTGGGCGTGGAGCTGGAGCACACTGGCTGCCAGCCCACCCCTGGGGACTATAGAATAGTCGACTAACCGATAAGAATTCATGAGGTTAATCGACTATTCAGTTAGCTGCTATTTAACATCCCTAGCACAGGTGGGTAATACTGGTTAAACCCTCTGTGTGTGAACCTGCAGCGTGAGACTTCCAGTTCTACACGGCATTGCCATAGGGGTCCGGGCTGGAAGGGCGGCCCACCCCTGCAGGGAGGGGGCTCTTGTTAATGTGCGAGACTGAAACAGTGACAGGGGGCAGGAATGATGGAAGTGTTAAACACGAGACTAGAGACTCCTTGTTTATGAAGGCTGAGCTACACCCTCTGCTGGGCCCCTCCCCAGAGACCCCCCTCCCCATGGGAGGGACTGGACAGAGGGGGGAGAAAAGGCTTCCTGCCCTATGATTGCCACTGAAGGCAGCCCGAGGACCCCTGGCTGGGAGAGCAGGGAGCCAGCCTTGCCCTCTCGACAAAGCTCCTGATGCCAGCTCTGGGATAGCCCTGTAGCTCCCCTCCCCCTGACGCTAGCTGCCCTCTGGGACTTTCTTCTCCTCCTCCCATAACTGCCTCAGCCTTAGTGGCCTGTACCCCATTCAAGTTTAAAGGCTGCACTTTGCTCAGCCACCTCCGAGCTGGCTGTAGCCATGTGCTGGTTAGGAGCAGGGATGTAAAAACGGCTAAATACTAGCCATGTAACCGATTACAATCCAGGCGATAAGCCTCTCTTCGCATCATCGGTTACACACAGCCGGGCGCTCCCGGCAGCTGCCGGCCCACGGGCATTTAACCGTTCGCTGGACCCGATCGGTGCACTGGTTGAACTCTTACATCCCTGGATAGGAGCAGGATTTTGGCAGGGGGAGGGGTTCTGGCGCTGGCGCTCTGGCACAAAGGCTCTTATGGAGCACGGGGTAGGGGGTTCGGCCCAGCGTTCCACCCCAGCTGTCCGGGTGAAATTCTGGGAGCCTGGGTGTGCACCACGGGGACAGCCAAAGGGATAAAGCGGCAACAGGTATTCTGATCGAGTACCCTCATGGGCTGCCTTGTGTGCAGCTCCCCGGGATTGGGCCTCTACGCCACAGCTCCCAGGGCAGATTTCCGCTAGCCACCGTGTCCGTCGAAGACCGTGGTGCTAAGATCCCCGTGGGCCACCCCACGCCTCCGTGATCTTGCTGGTCCAGCCCATCTCCTCCAGACACCCCCCTGGTTCCATATTCCCCTTTCTCCTCGGCAGGCGGGGGCCCGCAGGCAGAGCTCTCAGAGAGAGGAGAGAAACACACCCCACCGCCACCCCGTTGCCCCCCAGCTGTTGTGTGAACAGCATCCCAGCGCCTTGCTGGGAGCCAAATGCTCCCTCGGCGTGGTCAGGTGGCCCGGACTCCCCTTTGGGTGCTCTCTCCCTGCATGCTGAGACACTAGGCACAGCACCACCCCTGCAGTATTGGGGGGGCTGCCCAGCACGCAATTGGGGGCATACAAAGAGACCGATGAAGGAGTCGATTGCACCATGGGACACGGCAGAGACCAGCTCCCCCAAGCTGCCTCGATCTCGGAGACAGGCCTGCCCCCAGTCCGGCAGCAGCTTGAGCCCGCAGGCACTTAGAATAGGTGAGCCCCTCCCTGCACCCCCGAGACGCCGACTCCCTGGAGCTCTGTCAACCACGCCCCCAGCCTGAGCCCCAGTGCCAACTGCCTGGCAGCTGGCTGAAAAAGGGGAGGAGCTGGTATGTCAGGGGGCCAGCTGTTCCCCTTCCCCTTGGCCAGGGAACCCGCAGCGGGTCAGGCCTTCCCTGCTCTGAGAAGGGCTCAGCCAGTCTCCTCTGAGGCGCAGAGCCTCTGCGAGCCTGCATCGTGCCTGTGTGGTCCGAGGGCACAAGTCTCCTGGCCTCTGCCTCCCCCTGAAACCGGAGCTCAGCCCTTCCTTGGCGTCCCTCCTTCCGGCCTCTTCCACCCCCGGCACAGCGCCGAGGGCCGCACCTTGAGGCGGGAGGTCCTGGGTTAACCCCGCACCCTGCTTTGGTCTAGGCGGGTTCACTGACGCCTTCGTGCGGGAAGGGGCGCTTTGCTCTTCTGTCAGGCTGCCCTGTCAGGCTGCCCCTGCCCCACCGGTTCCCCTTCTCCAGCTCGCCAGCTGGGTGAGCATCCGTGCCAAGCAGCTCCCACGGGGGAACAGGCCTTGCGGGCCTGTAGCAGCACCGGTCCCCTTCTCTGGCCCCATACAAGCACTTCCTGTTTACCGGGCAGCCTCTCAGCGTGTGCCCGGAGAGAGAGACGTGGGAGAATCTATTTATTCCCAGGCTGGATGGTTGAGAGCTGCTGGCCCCGGCGCTTATGAGTAGGGCGGGGTAGGGGTGGGCGCACAACACCTCAGACCAAGCTTGACTTGTCGGGGGACATCTGGGCTGTCTCAGACCCTCACACAGTGTGCGCTTAGCAGTCCTGCCAGCCCCCAGAACCCCTGCTGCTACTAGATTTTAGTCCTTGGCTGTGTCTTTCCCTTCAGAGATTTATAGGCTTTCACAACCCCATGGGTACCCTTTCCGTGAGCCGGAATAAACTTAGCTCCCTCCGTCTCTCCCTTCTGAGATCTCCGCTGTTGTTGGACGGGCGGGCTCTCCTGGTGTCACCCGCCACCGTGCCGTCTCAGGACTTACGCGGGGTCCCAGCATGATGCGGGCAGCCTTCCTCCACAGTGTTCCAGAGGAGCCCGCTTGGTGAGGGGGTGCTACGCTGGA